CGCGCCCACCCTCTCCTGGGTTCTAGCCAACAAAACGCACGTCTCCAGCTCCTCAGCGGGAAACGACAAAGTGCACGTGGACCCGGATGGCACGCTGGTGATCCAGGAGGTCACTGTGTACGACAGGGGCCTCTACACGTGCCTGGCCACCGCGCCCACCCTCTCCTGGGTTCTAGCCAACAAAACGCACGTCTCCAGCTCCTCAGCGGGAAACGACAAAGTGCACGTGGACCCGGATGGCACGCTGGTGATCCAGGAGGTCACTGTGTACGACAGGGGCCTCTACACGTGCCTGGCCACAAACCCCGCGGGCTCCGACACGCTGGGGGTGAAGCTGCAGGGGATCCCGGCGCCTCCCCCCCACCCGGCGGGGATAGAGAGAACGCGTTGAGGGAGCGATAGGGGAGCACCTCCAGCTGCCCTGCTCCGCGGAGGGGAACCCTCAGCCCACCGTGCACTGGGTCCTCCCCGACGGGACGGTGGCGAAGCCGCGGCAGGCTGTGAGCACGAGGCTGTTCCTGTTCCCCAACGGCACCCTGCAGCTCCGCGGCCTGGCCCCGACCAACAGCGGCACCTACGAGTGCATCGCCACCAGCTCCACGGGCTCGGAGCGCAGGGTGGTGACCCTCACCGTGGAGCAGAGAGACACGCTCCCCAGGATAGCCACCGCCTCTCCGGAGGTGACGCGGCTGAATTTTGGGGAGAGGCTGGTTCTGCACTGCGCAGCCACCGGGGAGCCAGCACCCAGCATCCTCTGGCGGCTGCCGTCCAAGGCCGTGGTGGACCGGTGGCACAGGTAGGAGCCTGGTTTTCTTTCTCTTTGAAACGTCCAATGCTGTCGTCTCTGGTGCTCGTGTAAGAGGCTGTCACGCATCGTGAGCCAGCTCCACTTCTGACCGTTCAACAGCGGTGAAACGTGGTGGTGTGTTACCGTGTGCCAACAGACCACCGCCAGCGCCCGACGGGGCGAGCTCTGGCCACGCTGGACACACCTCTGACCTGGAGTAGGGAAACTGGCGCTCATCATACACGGGCTGAGCTGGGGGCACTTCGTTCTGTGTGATTAGGATGAATCCTTAATTTGTGCTAGAATGGTTTGCAGTTTAATAAAAACTGATGTCAATAAACGGATCCAAATATTTCTAGGCAGTGGTAAGACTTTTCCTTACCACCACTTCTAAAAAATTAACATAACTCAGTTTAATTGATGACAGCCACACAGACAACGTTTAGTGCCCTTCCACCGTAAATGTGATACACATTAATGATTTCTTCATGGGTGAAACAAACTAATTTAACCCTACGAAAACCACAGACCGTGGCTAGCACTAGCCCTTCCAGCTTAACACCCAGATGGTTCAAAGCACTGGTGGTGGCAACGTGCGCGTATTTCAGTCTGTGACAATCAAACATTTAGGTGTGTGGGAGGGACAGGTGTAATACTGGGTTACAGCAGTGCCAGGCGAGTGCCTCTATGCCTTTGCAGCAGCAGAGGCTGCGGGCTGGACGCTGCAGAGAGGAAGAGCTGTTTACAGGAGATCTGCAGAGCAGGACTCAGGAGGAAGAGGCTTCCCTAGCCTCTGCCAAGTCTACCTTCGAGGGTCGCCCCCACACCCCCTTCCCCAGGAACCCTTCACCTTCACTTTGGGAGGGACGGACCCAGGTCGGGCCGTTCCCGGCAGGCTCCGGAGAACTTGCAGCGGGGCTGAGGAGGGAGATGGAGGTCAGGTCGGTGCCCCACTGCAGGACACAGCCAGGGAGCAATCGCTCGGCGCCAGCTCTTGTCCTGCACAACACGCAGCAGCGCCGATGGCTGGGGAGGTGCCGCGGGCGGTCTGCACGGGGAAGCACAGGGAGAGGAGCAGAGGCTGGCGGGATGCGGGGTGCGGGGTTCAGGAGGCTCGGCTGTTCACAGAACAGTCTCCAGCAAGGCAGAGGCGGCGTTGGTTCCATAATTCTTTTCCTCTTTCTCCCCCACAACAGGATGGGAAGTCGAATCCATGTCCACCCCAACGGCTCCTTGGTTATCGAGGCAGTGACGGAAAAGGACGCTGGTGACTATTTGTGTGTCGCAAGAAACAAACTTGGAGATGACCTGGTACTGATGAAAGTCAGTGTCACGATGAGACCAGCCAAGATCGACGAGAAACAGTATTTCAAGAAGCTGGTGCTCTACGGAAAGGATTTCAAAGTGGACTGCAAGGCCTCCGGGTCCCCCGCACCGGAGATTTCCTGGAGTTTGCCGGATGGGACGGTGATCAATAATGCGATGCTGGCAGACGACAGTGGACACCGGTCTCGCAGATACGTCCTCTTTGACAATGGAACTCTGTACCTCAACCAGGTTGGAGTAACCGAAGGAGGAGATTACACCTGCTACGCTCAGAACACACTGGGAAGGGACGAAATGAAGGTACGCCTGACGGTTGTCGTGGCAGCCCCCCAGATAAAGCACAATTACAAGACGTACGTTAAAGTGAGAGCTGGAGACATGGCATTGCTGGACTGTGAAGCTGTTGGAGAACCCAAGCCCAAAATATTCTGGTTGCTGCCTTCCAGTGACATGATCTCCTCGTCAACGGACAGACACCTCCTGCACGTCAACGGCTCGCTGTCCATTAGCCGCGTCAGGCTGCTGGACGCCGGGGAGTACATGTGTGTCGCTCGGAACCCCGGAGGGGACGATACAAAACTGTACAAACTGGACGTTGCTGCTAAACCACCCATCATCAATGGCTTATACGTGAACAAAACCATAATGAAAGTGACGGCTGTGAGGCACTCAAAGAAACAGATTGACTGCAGGGCCGAAGGGACGCCTCCCCCTCAGGTTATGTGGATCATGCCTGATAACATCTTCCTGACAGCTCCCTATTACGGGAGCAGGATCGTAGTGCACAAAAACGGGACGCTGGAGATTCGGAACATACGGCCTTCGGACACAGCGGATTTTATCTGCGTGGCCCGTAATGACGGGGGAGAGAGTATGCTGGTGGTGCAGCTGGAGGTGTTAGAAATGCTCAGGCGACCGATGTTTAAAAACCCATTCAATGAAAAAATAATAGCCAAACCGGGAAGAACTACCACCTTGAATTGTTCTGTGGATGGAAACCCTCCACCCAACATCAGCTGGATGTTGCCCAACGGCACGTGGTTCTCCAGCGGCATCAGGACTTCCCAGTTCCTCACAGGGAGTGGTGGCGGCACCCTCACCATCCACAACCCTGACACGGACACAGCGGGGAAGTACCGCTGCGCGGCCAGGAATCAGGTTGGCTACATCGAGAAGCTGATCATCCTGGAGCTGGGCCA